GCTTGATGCAGCTCAAAAATCAATTGGTGAATGCTCAAGGACAAGACAGAATTTTATCTCACAGGAGACAGTGGAAGCTACAGATGCTTACGTGCAGCTCATCTGAGAGGGGATCGGGATTTGCATCGTTCTCAGGTGTGCAGAACTTGGTCACTGTTGAGAAGGGGCAAGGAACAGTTTATTGCAGAGGAGGTCGAAGGCCATTTCTTGGTAAATGACCTTCGTCCTGCCTACCAAGCCCTGAGAAAGCTGAACTCCAAGCCTTCTCCACAGGTGACAGCAGTTCGCTTAGTAAGTGGCCAGATCGTCTCAGATGCTGTTGCAGTAGGTTGAGTATTTTGAGCAGTTGTACCAGGTTGATCCACCAACAGTTAACTTGGTTGCGGGTAGTGTCGAGATTCCGTTGCCGGACTCACCCATCAGTGAGGATCCACCCTCCCTAACTGACATAAAGGGAGTGATCTCCAAACTGAGTAGCGGTAAAGCAGCAGGTATGCAGCATCCCAGAACTGTTAAAAGGCTGGTGGTGAACCTATGACGCGGGGGTTGCATGCTGTCCTGCCTGTCATCTGGCAGTCTGGTACCATCCCCTCTGACTCGTTGAGGGGTGTGGTTATCCCTTTCTGGAAGGGGAAGGAGGACTGATAGGACTGCAACAATCACCGCGGCATCACACTGCTTGGTATACCATGCATGGTTCTCACACATCCTTCTGAGACGTATCAGAGACCACCTGCTGAGGCACCAAAGGCTGGAGCACTCTAGATTCTCTCCTGGTAAGTCCACAATAGACTGTATCCTGGCGCTTTGTGTCATTGTATAGCACCACCATGAGTTCAGGCGTGGGCTGCTTGCAACCTACATCGACCTCAAGAAGGCATTCGATATGGTGCATCAGGAATCACTCTGGGAGATCCTGAGATAGAGAGGAATTCCAACAAGAATTATCGGACTAAAAGCATGCCTGTATACTGGTACTAAAAGTGCTGTAAAGTGTGGTGGGGGCCTGTCGAGTTTCTTTCCTTTTAGTTCAGGAGTGAGGCAAGGCTATGTCTTTGCACAACATTTTTCAACACTTGCATGGACTGCTTCAATAGTTCTGTTTGGGAAACTAAATTTTTTGACAGCTTCATCACCTCTTTTTACAGCAGGCTACTGTCCCAAGTCATTGTGGAGCATCTCTGGGCAAATCAAGGTTACTGGCCTTGACTTTGCTGATGATGTTGCTATTCTATCTGAGTCTTTGGAAATCCTAGTGAAGTGAAGTGAAGCAAAGACCTTGAGTCTAAAGATCTCTTGGACCAGGACCAGGATGTAGGACTTTGGGGAATTGCTAGGAGAACCTGTTCGGTCGGTATGTACTTGTGGCGAGGACATTGACGACACAGAGAGCTTTACATACCTTGGTATTGTAGTTCGTAACTCAGGGCTGACAGACCAGGAAGTCAGCAGATGGATTGACTTGGCAGCAGGGGTCATGAGCTCTTTTGACAAGAGTATTTGGAGATACCGTTACCTGTGCAGAAGGACCAAGCTATGCGCCTTCAAGGCCCTGATAATGCCAGTTTTACTACACGGTAGTGAAACCTGGACATAATCTCGTGCCTTGGAGTCTCTTCTTGATACCTTTTATAATCACTGGGTCATGGGGTACTATTGGTGTGACCATGTTTCCAACTAACTATTGTACTCCTTGCACAAACTATATGGGTACCTAGCTCGCTTCCCACAGGTCTCTCTATGAAACAGCCCTGGTTGGAGGAGGCCTGTGGGACGACTTAGGAAGTCGTGGCTTAGGCAGATCGATCATACCTGTCGTGAGGAGTCCCTGTCTTGCAACTTTCTATGAGGGATCCTCATAGGTGGAAGCGAAGGGTGAATGCGGCTATGCGCCCCCGTTGGCGTTAGCTCCCCGACGATGATAATAAATCATCCATTCATAGCTGATAAAATAATTGCAGAAATACGAAATGACCTAATGAACCCTACACTTTTAAACAACCAGAACATATCTCCCATGAAACTGAAACCAGAAAACTAGCTTAAAACGACCTGCCTCCTTTCAGCACGTGTGGCACCTCCTACCACCGCTGCGGAGACGGGCACTGTATTTTCATCACGTGGGTTTGCGACTCGGAACCAGACTGTGTCGATGGCTCAGACGAACTCATATGTGGTGAGTCCATTTAGAATCTGTGTTGGTTTTCGATTATTTATTTATTAGTTTTAGTTATATTGCCATTTTTAGCTGCGTTGTTCTTCGTGTATCAGTAATATACGGTGGTCTTCCTTGATGCATTGCTAAGAACTACGACGTATTCCTATCGCTATTTTTCACATGAATATCCATTTTCATTCAGAGAATTTATGCATGGGAAACTGATGCTGTAGAATCACTTCACCGTGAGAATCGTGTGGCTTTAAAGCAGTAAAGGTCAAGCTATAAATTGTATTACATTACCAAGCGTAATTATCCTGGATTTATATGTATAATTCTCGC